CTTTTGAAGTAGTCACATTGCACGACTCACGGACAAAGCCCTGGCATACACCGCATGACCTAGCACCATGTCGTCCACCCTGGACCAGCCCCCAACTCAGCCCAAGCCTGGCCCACCTGAGCCCGTTAAGAGCCTAGTCACTGTTGACTGTTGACCAATCAATGATGACTGTTGACCAACCCCACATGTCAGTGACCAGTGCTGAGGGCCCACCTGCCAGCCACCGTTGCCGAGACCACACGGCCTCGCTGGCCGAGACCACCGTGGCCTCGCTTGCCGAGACCACCATGACCCCATCTACCGCAAGTCGTACCCTCTGGACCATGAACCCTAGTCGTATGTCTTACCGAGACCATGGAAAGCCCCATCTCGCATCTTTCCGTATACACATATCTATCTTGTTGGGCCCTATTCTTACAACCTATCTGTCCATGACTGTCTTACAGGAATTCACCTATCACCCAGCTATGGAATGTGCTACTCCATAGTCATGTCGAGTTGTTGCGTCTTTCGGTCGTGTTTGGTTCTTATCGCTGGTTGTTGGTGTTGTTGCTTGTGTGCCGAGCCTTTGAGCCGGCTGAGGGATCGTACCTTGTTCGGACGTTACGATCGCGGGATCCATCTCGCCATGACCGTGATGCCGAGTGTGACTCGACCCCTCGCCTTTTAGTTGACTTCATAGTACCACGAGTGTTAGCTCCTGCCTTCGGCCCTAGAACATGGTCGTGATGGATTCGATGTCGATACTAACATCGATGCGGATATCACCCGCACACCTTGAGCCTTCCATGACCAAGTTCTGTGGGAGAAAACCTGGGAGTAAACAATTGTGGAACGATGAATGCCAACTCGTAGGCATAGCTTGTGGCCGCGAGTTCACCTCGCCATGACCATGGAGCTACGCCTCTCTTTCGCTTTTAGTTGCTTCTTCGTGCTCAAGCCCTTGTATGCTTGTACCCCGTTTGACCATCACGTTTCTCTGATTCCCGCGGTGACAACCGCACCGCTTTGAATCCGAGAGATATCTCAGTGCCAGTGCACCCAGGTCGGGTACCCTACGAGTGGTCTGCGCACTTGGTGTTTGTCGCTTCCTCCCAATGCCCCATCTTTCGTCGTGGCATGAGTGTTGGAAGAAGTAGACCTTGTTCCGTGTTGTTCTTGCTCTTGTTGCACCGCTAGCCCGCTCTGTTCGATTCCGTCTTGCCCATGACGATTGGATCAAAGACCGGACTATTCCCTTTGGGTTAGCGAAGCTATGGTCTATGTCGTACCTCGAACCCATGCGTGTCGACCCGATCGACCGTCTAAAACCATCTTTCTCGAAGATGTGTCTGAGAACATGACATGGATGTGCCTAGCTAACCCCCGCATCTTTTGCCGTGTTGAACGACTCTCTTCTCGGCTCCCGACGTTATTATGTTGTGTGGATCGAGGGGAACCGTTGATGTCCAATCTCTTTGCGCTACCGCTTTCTACCATAGCGGGCGAGCCAAAGTACGTTGGAGCCAAGTTACAATAGTGTTAATCGTCCTTGTTGCCACTCGTGTCCAATTGTGACTTGCGGGATAAGGCTATAAGAGCCGAACCCCGTCGTTCTTCTTCTTGGGGCCCGACTTCCAATCCCCGTCGATTCAATGACACCGGATCGGAAGATCGTGAGCCGTGGTGTGCTATGGATAAGCTTTGGCTTAAACCATCTATCCTAAAGCCATACTGGCTTGGCCATGACTTAAGCTTGTGCTTAGCAAACCACCATTTGTGATTCTTGGCCCGAGGAAATCGGATAACCGCCGAGAGGGCTAAGTCATGTATCTCTTATTGCCTCATTGGTGTTATTGGATTTTCCTGCGTCTTGTCATCTTTTCAAGTGTTGAGTGCTCTCTTGCCTTGCGTGTCGCTTCGCGGAGAAGCTGACGATCGGACCAAGAGAACGTGGACAACGACAAGGACTGCGGAATGGAGTCAATGCAGGAGGAGGTGACCCCGCTAATGGAACACCAACGAATGGAGAATTGTACCACTACTACCTCTACATCGTAGGTGTCATGGCAGCACCCTCTTTTAGAGAATCCTATTAGACATTGCATAATATCTAGAACTGCTAGCGCTTTATAATTATTCCTTTGCTAGAACTTTGATGCATGCTACTACCTGAGCCATTATTATCCTGATGCAACCCACTCTACCACGTCACCCTGCTTTGCGCATTCGCTCGCTTATATATGCTTACTTGCCTGCTTGCTTGCATATTACACCACTATACTTATTATTAACTCCACTTCGCATTATATCGGGAATGTGATAATGGTGGTGCACCCCCTGGGAATGGTTTGACTATGGGTGCCGGACTTGGTGGTGTGTGAGCGTGCTGCGTGTCTTGGGTGCGTGGAGAGTGAGGGTTGTGTCGACCGAGCTGGAATAATGACGAGCCTGGGGCGAGTCTTGCCATGTGGTGCTACCTGGGCACTTGAATATGGAATACCTGTGGCGGGTAAATGGTAATTGGAGGTGGCCTTGGGTGTGAACCTCGGAGAGGTGGAGCCCGGGGTAGAGGTGATGTGGTGGCACGTAAAATGGAAACACTGATGAAGACATTCTGGCTTGGTCATCCCTAAGGACTTACTAGTACTCAGACTCACCAGGAATCATTTACATCCCACTCGCCCTATATGGTGCGGGACGGTCGGACTACTTGGTAGAGCGATGCCACTACTGCTAGGCGAACGTGTGCAAGGAGGTACGGGGTGCACGGTCCCCCCCCCCCACACCCTTCCGAGACTTCAGGAGGCCTTGTGGACCGGCTCTTGACATCCGGTGGGCCCCGGCTCTCACGACTCTCACAATGACGCCCATCCCAGACTAGACTTGGGGTGTTCCAGGACTGAGAGGTAGGGTGGCATCGTTCTAGGCTAGCAAGCGGCCGGAATCTGCCTAGACGGGGCACCGTCGAGGATGGCTATCTTATGGGTATGTGAAACCTCTGCAGAGTGTATGGTTGATCGATCGATACGTATGCCGACTTGTCGGCTATGGACCTTTCCTGGGTTTCGCTTAAACTAGATAGGAGATGAGTCCTTCCTTCCTCCCTCCAGGGTTGGGGTATTTTCCGGTCGTGAGCCTTGGGGCTGCGGGCCGTTGAGACAAGGCCGAGAGGGAGTTGGCCTGTCGACCTGAGTGTGTGAGATGAGATACGGTGTGGTGGTGTGGAGATGGTTTGGGATGGATGGTTGGTGGATGGATACGGATGGTGTGGTGGTGAATGTGTTAAAAATTGGATATTATTATTATATTACTATTGTTATTTATTTCTCATGCGCTAAGGATGCAAACAACAGCCAAATATTAGGATCGCCAGATCCCTTGTTTATCTTTTCCACTAAAGCTCATCGGTGCTGACCATGGCCTGCACACATCTGGCGGTGTGCAGATTTCCTACTTCTCAGAGATGCTGACTTTAGAAGGATTAGGAGGTCACGTGTCTACGCTCAAGTTTGGTTCGGAGATGGAATCTACGCTGCACTACGCCAACTCTGATGATGCCCGTGAAGGAGGAGCCTTCACTCGATAGTCTTCCGCTAGATTAACTCTGTAATAGGTGTGTTCCCCAGTGATGTAATATCTTGTATTCTTGTAATCTTACGATGTATGACTGTGACATCGACTGAAATATGATAATACGATGAAATCAGTTCTTGGTTTCATCATATTATAATTCATTCGGTAGAATTTTCCCTTCGCGGAAAATTGAGGATGTTTCACAACCTGCGACCCAATGACCCATCTGTTCACTTCCCAAACCTATCCCTGTTCTCAAACAAGTTCTGAGCTTGTTTATCAGCAGAGCATAAAATGAAGGTTCCCAGTCTTGAATTTCGATTGGGAACAACCAAAGCTACACTGGCCTGGCTACCGAATGTAGATTCAACAGCACTACGGCAGTACAGGAGCACCGTTTTTGTCTGTACATCCATCTTCAACTTCATCACAGCCATCTCGATCTTCATCAGCATATGAATCCATTGGAGTTCATGACATTAGCTGAGGGGAACAAATTGGATTTATGATCATGTTCACCTTTCGAACTAAAATTAAATGAAGCAGGGTCATTTGATTGCTCATAATTAATTGTAGCTGGCTCAAAGATGCCAGGTGACCAGGTGACTGCGGTCTATCGCTATTGAAGATGCCAGGTGACCAGGTGACTGCGGTCATCTGAACCCACTATTGCACATTATTTGTAGCAGGCTAGACGACGACGACGACGACGACGACGACGACAACGACGACGACGACGACGACAATAATAATAATAATAATAATAATAATAATAATAATAATAATAATAATAATAATAATAATAAAAAATAGCATCACGATGAAAACCAGATACGGATGTATTCGTCGGTGTCAAAGAAACAGCAACAGATTACAACTTGCTTATCTGCTGGAATTATTATACATACAGCTGCCCGACATCACAAGATACATGGCGTAGCAACTGGACTATTCGTTGCACCAGCGTTTATATGGTCAGTTGACGTTACGCTTCCCCAACAAAATACAACAAGGTCACATCTAAATTCTTATGTAAATCTGCAGCATGTGCACAACAGTTTATCACCAACAAACAGAGCGGCCGGTCTAATTACAGTAGCTCCAGAGCTCAGGATCACAAAGATTCCTCCGAAGCCATACCCTGCTGAGTAAATTAGAACAACAAAAAGCCTAACAGCTACGAAAAATCTACAACAATTACAGAAACTTTTCATTTCCTCTTGACCCACATCATCTTCATTGAGACGAATCTCCCTATGACTATGAGTATAGTCCAGTGACAGGCACCGTCCAAGTTCTACATGCTGGTACCTCTGTAAATATAAGCACAGTTTTCACAAGATAAGCAAGGAAATAATAAATTGAACAGACCTCAAAAGTTTGAATCAACTACGTACATGCTCATCACAGACCAGTCGGGTGCAAAATGATCTCCTTCAGAGGCCTCATTGCCAAGATAATTGCTTATATGTAGACCTTTCTGTGTCCCAACTGCCATCATGTTCCTTTCTCTTTGTTCCTACAACTGGCATTTGGTAAATTCTTCCTTGATCTTCTGCAAAGCCATGTGGGGGTGTGATCAAATTTTGTCTGACTGGTAAAGGTGCCCGTGCATCCTTTCCTTCTAAATCTATACTTCCAGGGCCTGAGTTAAGATCAAGGCCCTGACTTTCCCATTTACGACTACTGTCACGTCCACTGCTGCTGCTACCCTCAGCAAGATTTATAGCATACTGCCTTGAATGCTGGGCAGGTAATGATCCTGCTGGCCCAACAAGAGAGGGAGAGAGAGTTTGAAAATATGGAACTGCAGATGCAGAATTAGCAAATGTTGCTGATCCAACTGAAAATGCAGGTGCTTGAAGGTGGACACTTGGAGGAAAAGAAGGGAATCCTGCATATTGATATGCAGGCGGATGAAAAACCATCGCTGGAGACGTTGAAATAACTGGAGCCCTGCAGGGATCACCTCCAAATTGGCCACTGTCAGTGGTAGACGCGATAATCCTCTGGGCTCCAGATGCAGCCTCAATTTGGTACAGCTGTTCTCCTCTAGAAGGCAAAAACGATTGTATAGCTACTGGACCACAAGGGTTAGCAGAGGCAAGCCATGGTGATATATTACTCATGGCAACATTATTCATCCTTAAACCAGGAACTTGTAGGAATTGAATACTGCTTGTATTTTTAGCAGGTAGGTTCTTTGGCACAGGTTCAGTGACAGCATCATCAAGGCCTGGTCCACTATTAAGGTCAAAGTCCCTCGAGATATTCATACCAGCATTAGAGACAATTCCAGGTAACGACCTTGTTGACGACAATGGGAGTTCAACTGGGTGTGAAGCATTTGACACAAATTGGCCATTATCTGCAACTTCATCAGCTCTGTTCAGATCAAACTCAATGCCAGCGCTTCGTGATGAGCAATCTCGACTTTTCGTATTTCCAGATTCAGAGCAGGTAGTCTGTGCAGAACTCTCTGGGATATCTTCCTGGAGAGCTTGGTCACCTGCAACATTCAAATCAAAACCAAGTGTGGGGCGAGACTGCTTCCCAGCAGTATGAGATCCTGGAATTTCACGTGTGGTGCCAGGCATCTCCAAAATCTTCCTCGGTTCAGCTGGGCGGAATGCACTCGTAGCAGCTGAACCTTTCCACCCGATCTCAGGCTTTGCTCTTAGTAGGTTCTCAGGAGGAACAAAGGGTCCTTTAGCTGGAGCAGCTACTGTTATTGGAGCTGACTGCAGCCCACATGTAATAGGCGAAGCAAATGGCAAAAGCCTAGTTAAATGGACCGTTGAGGAACATATAACAGGTGAGATAGTTGGTTCAGACTGATGCCCATCATCCCCAGGTATTCCTTCATTCAAGTCGAAGTCAAGCTTTGCTGTAGCATTTGACTTGGTGTGGGCAGCTAGAGAAGAACCTTCATCTGATGAGACAAGGTCATCTTTTCCATCCTCCTTTCCACTCACACCATCACTGGATTTTTTTGAGCTCTGCTTTGCACTATGCTCACTTTGCTGAGAATGGACACCTTCAGATTTTACATGACTATTGGATTCACTTGAAGTGTCTTTTGATTCAATCCCATTTGCTGGGGACGCTGCAGCTACAACTAGTTTTGGAACATCAGCCGAAGGGAAAGAAGCATTTTCCTTCTTTTCCTCCTCATTCCACAGTATGCTACTATCGCTCACAGCATCAGCTTTTTTCACCTCTGCAGCCATCAAATCTAATTTGCCAGCCATACTGTCACGGCTATCAAAGGCTCCTGAGTGGCCTGATACACCCAGAGGCTGCTTATGATTAGTTGATGACTTCAACAAACCCTGGGCTTGTTTATCAGCAGCAGACAATGAAGATTCTCCAGCAAGAACCAATCTTGAATTCCTACTGGAAACAACCACTTTACACTGACTGCCCAATGTAGAATCCACAGCACCACCCTTGTCTGTACAGCCATCTTCAACTTTCCCATGTCTACATGCATCCCGATTTTCACCTGCAGATGAATCCATATTAGGCACATTGACAATTCTAGCATTAGCTGAGTGGCACAAATTGGAGTTCTGATCATGTTCACCTTTGGAATCAACCAAATCAGGTTGAGAGTTGCATTTGTTTGCACGCCTTCATGGATTTCAATTTTGACTGAAGATCCAACTGCTTTTGAATCTGCTAGCTCAGGAGATGGCACAGTTTGGCGTTGTTCCTCCTTTGCAGCCAAACAAGAATCACTTTTCACTTCCTTCCCACCGACAACTTTCTTAGCATCTGCTGGCCCTGGATCCTGTGATGGGCTCACATCACTTTCTACTTTAACCTTCCCAGCATTGTCACCCTCACAGCCCAATTTCTTTGCAGATGAATTTCTGGGTGAAGAAGATGGGGAAACCAATTCAGATTTTGATATTTCTCCTGCCACACTAGCAAGAAGATCCATTGCTGTGTCGTCTTCAGCATGCAAGGAATGACTAGCTTCAGAGTACTTGATTTCAATCAGAGCATTCATTGGGCTGAATGAGTTTCCCACCTTGGTTTCACTTGAACAGACGCCTTTTTCATTCATATATGATGAGGCTGACCATACAACTCGTGATGCATGTGTATCCTTAACAGAATCATCAGGTGTCCTGCTGTTGTCATCATCTAACATAGCACATGGTGATTTGTCACCTTCCTCCGAACCAGCAGTTCCTTTAATCTCATTGCTGTGCCATGACTCTGCATTAACATCAGAAGTTAAATGAGGCTGAGAATTTTCAGTTTTCATTTTCACTCTGCGATCAGTCTGTTCATGTCTATCTGCAACCACAGGAGATGAAGCTCTACCACCAGTAACAGATGGGTCCTCAAGAGATCCTCCACTTGTACTTCTAGCAGGACTACGGCCAGGATTTGGAAACCGAACAATCAATCTATGATTATTTCCATGGTCAGATGGCATGTCAACTCCTTTTTCAGAAGCTGATCCAGTTGGAGATGATTTATCTGGCAGCAAAGATCGATCAAGGGAGACACATCTTCCCACAGAAGCTTCCTTCAGGTTCCCTGAAACAAGCCCATTGGTTGCCTTTCGATGGCCCCGTGAAGCACTTCCAGAAGTTTTACTAGCACCACCAGAAACAGCAGTTGAACTTCTCGCATCCTTCGATGGCTCACTAGAGCATGAATGGCTATTGTTCGGTGACTGGCTCGAGTTGCTACTTTTCTCCTCTTTCACAGTAGGCAGCTCAGAACCACCAGTTGATTTGCAGGGCTGGTCCTTCAAGTTGGCGGCAACATTTCCTGGTTGCATATGTTGTACTTTTGAAGCGACATAAGGTACATGATTCAACTTTGCAACAGCATCTGAGCCCCCAGGTTTATCAGTCAAAACCTTTGGTGATGAAACAGTGGATGCTGGATTCTTTGGGCTGTGCTCACTTGAGCCACCTCGTTTGCTTCCAGTATTTGAAATTTCTTGGAAACCTGCTTTTCCAGGCCAGGAAGCAGATTGGCCAGTTAAAGGTTTCAAATCATTCGACTTCATTTCAGCATCAACACGTTTCTTCCAGTTCTCAACAAGACACTTAGCTTTCTTCTGTATCTCCAAATTTTTGTGGCTGCGGAGATGATTGACAGATTTTCCAATGTTACAACTTTGCAGTGCACTGAGATTAATAGGCAATTTAGCTAGTGCACGAAGTAGCGCCAAGAGAAGGTCATCAATAGGCTTATCTGCTTCTTTAGAACTACCGTCACCAGACTTCCCTTTGTGAGCCTCTTGAAGCCAACTATCCAACACGGGAAGGCCCCTTGATTGCACAAATCTGCCAAGACAATCAGGGCTCTCTGTAGCTGCAATAACATCAGCAAGCATAACCCGACCAGCAAGGTCTACCCTCTGCTCAGTCTGATAAAGTTGCATAAGATGCACAAGCTTTTCAACTGCTTCTGTGTTTGGAAGTCCACCTTTTTCAACCTTTGCTATTTCAGACTTTATACCGTCCAACTTGCTTCCAGGCTCACTGTCATCAACATGCAGACGATCTCGATCCCGCTTAGCTGGATCAATTCCTTGCTCACCTCTCCCCCTCTTCTTTCCCTTGGATAAACCACAATTCTGTGTACCATCTGTAGAAGCCTTCAGTTGCTGGGATGCTGATGAACCATTTAGCCGCTTTGGAGACCGTCCACCTGACTGCACTGCAGCATGCATTTCTAACCTTGTTCTGTATAGAAGCCGATTTACTTCTTCCTGCCGTTCCTGGTAAAAAGTTTCACGCAAGAAACATCATTATAAATATATATAAGAGTAAGAGAGAGAGAAACATGAAATAGATAATGAACCTACATTAATATAATCTCGGTCGGTAAGCCACCATAAACACTTGTTGTCAATATCGTATACACGCCAACATACAAATGAAGAAATTCCAACCGGGAGCTCAACACCTTTACGTAAAAAGGCAACTTTGCAAGGGTGCAGCAGGGAAACAGCAGATGCCTCGTCCTGGTGGAAAGAGTAGAAGAGCTCGTTTGGTGCGGCGTTCAGTTGAATGCCCTTGTTAAGCTTAATGTCGGCAGGTCTATAAAGCCAACTAACGCGTAGTTTGGGATAGCCTTCTTCCTTTTTCTCAATCCAACGTATCAATCCAATGAATGGAGGAACATCAACAGCCCCGAAAAGAGCACAATCGCCAACTTGAATCTCGCGCCCGTCCTGAAAATTAAACAGTACTTATCATTTGTTCAAGGAGCACAAAACATCCTTCATGTTAGTATGTTACAATGTGGTCTTGTTATTTTGGTGGAGGAGTTGAACAATTGCAGCCTCCCTGTGCAAATTATATTTGTAATCAAACAAGGAATGAAAAAACAATAGTTAAGCATGTAATTTCAATGAATACTAGCACGGGCATGGTATGAGTTTGGCAGAGCTCCACTTCACTAGTGAAGTCGTTATTTTTTTACTTGAGCTCTACAAGCAGCTCTACCAGAGGAACTGAAGCTGCTTTGGTTAACTGTTTGGCAAAACAGCTCTACATGTGGAGCTCCTTAAAACATGCTCTCATGGAATCCCACACAAGGCCGACCAGAGCGAGTGGGAGCTGGGAGAAGCTACTATTTTCAGCTCCATCTCCCATCCACCCTTTGTGAGAGGGCATTTTAAGGAGCTCCTCAGGTGGAGCTGTATTATTTTATCCCGTTTGGCACAAAACAGCTCCAAACAGCTTCTGAAGCTGGTGGAGGAGCTGTGCCAAATGGGGCCTAAATAATCTGTTACAACAAACATATTGACTGGACGATACTTTCCCATAATCCTTAAGCAAAATTCCATAAAGAAGCTTTAACACTCCTTGTGAAAACTAAAAGGTCTTGTCTCAACATAGCAGGTCCCAAGCCCTGGTAAAGGAGGAGGGTTGTGATAGACGTGGCGAGCCAACGTTAAATCTAGCCATTCTAATGGAGATGAAACCCGAAAGAAAACTATTGGGGCGTAACCCTCTTAACGACGCGCCATATCGGAACCCGGGTATGGTGTTAAATGGGCAAGGGCCGGGTCGGCACCCCCTTGGTGACACGCCGTGTCGCGATCTAGGCATGGTGTCAAGTGATCAAGGATCAGGTCGTCGCTTCCTTAGTGGCGCGCTACATCGGCGCCCGGGTGTAGTGAAAAATGAGCAAGGGTCTTCACATCTGAGTCGACGGGTGCGAAGAGTAAGGAAGCTAGTTGAACCAACTAGGATCTATTTAGGTAGTTGGAATGTAGGGTCGCTTAAAGGTAAGTTAAGAGAATTAGTTGATACACGACTAGGAGGCGTGTAAATATATTATGCGTTCAAGAGACTAAATGGACGGGTCAGAAGGCGAAGGAGGTGGACAATACAGGTTTCAAGCTTTGGTACACAGGGACAGTCGCGAATAGAAATGGAGTAGGAGTTTTGATTGATAAGAGCCTTAAAAATGGTGTGGTGGGAGTGAGAAGGCAAGGAGATAGGATTATCTTAGTCAAGCTTGTTGTTGGTGATATGATCTTGAACGTAATTAGTGCGTATGCCCCCCAAGTAGGCCTCGACGAGAGTGCTAAAAGACAGTTCTGGAAAAACTTAGATGGCCTGATTAGAGCTGTACCTAGTAGTGAGAAGCTTTTTATAGGAGGAGATCTTAATGGGCATGTAGGTACTACAAGCGCAGGTTTCGAGGCAATTTATGGAGGTTTTGGGTATGGTAGTAGGAATCAGGAGGGGGAGAAAGTTCTGGACTTCACGGTAGTTTTTGACCTGATGATAGCCAACACTTTCTTTAGAAAGAGAGAATCTCATCTAGTGACCTTCAATAGCGGACAACACTCTAGCCAGATTGACTTTGTCCTCGCAAGAAGAAAGGACAAACGAGCATGCTTGGGTTGCAAGGTGATACCAGGCGAGTGTGTTATTTCTCAACATAAGTTTTTGGTGGCAAACTTTCGTTTTCAGGTGCGTGCCCATAGGGATAAACAAGCTAAGATTGAAAGAACAAAGTGGTGGAAACCGAAAGGGAGACGCGTCGAGATATTCGTGGAAAGGGTTATCAAAGAGGGCTCTTGGAAGGAAAAAAAAAGGACATAAACAACATGTGGGAGAAGATGGCAACCAACATTCGGAAGGTGGCCTCAGAGGTGTGTGGAGTAACCAAAGGAAGTGGAGGCAAGGCTAAAGATACTTGGTGGTGGAACGAGGAAGTCCAAAGGGCTATTAAGGGGAAAAAAGAATGCTATAGACGCTTGTACCATGACAGGAGTGTGGGCAACATAGAGAAGTACAAGGTGGCAAAGAAGACTGCAAAGAGAGCTATAAGTGTGGCAAAGAGTAGAGCGTACGAGGATCTTTACCAACATTTGAGTACGAAGGAAGGAGATAAGGACATTTATAGGATGACTAGGGTTCATGAGAGAAAGACACGGAACTTCAACCAAGTTAAGTGCATTAAGGATGAAAGGGAGCATCTCTTGGTGAAGGAGGATGAGATCCGACATCAATGGCAAGAGTATTTTGACAAATTGTTCAATGGTGACAATACGGACACAACCTTTCAGTTGGATAACTCTTTTGATGACACCAATAGGCGCTTTGTGCGGAGAATCCAAGAATCTGAGGTCAGAAAGGCATTGAAAAGGATAAAAGGAGGTAAGGCGATAGGACCAGATGGTATCCTAATCGAGGTGTGGAGATGCCTCAGGGACATAGCTATAGTATGGCTAAACAAGCTGTTCAACCATATTTTTCGATCGAAAAAGATGCCTGACGAGTGGAGGAGAAGTATATTGGTACCGATCTACAAGAATAAAGGGGATATTCAAAGTTGTAATAATTACCGGGGAATTAAGTTGATGAGCCATACTATGAAGCTATGGGAGAGAGTTATCGAGCATCGCTTGAGAGCAATAACGCGGGTCTCTATGAACCAATTTGGTTTTATGCCCAGAAGGTCAACCATGGAAGCCATTTTCTTAATAAGACAAGTTATGGAGCGGTATAGGGAGAAGAAAAAGGACGTACACATGGTTTTTATTGACTTGAAAAAGGCTTATGATAAAATACCAAGGAATGTTATGTGGTGGGCTTTGGACAAATATAAAGTCCCAACGAAGTACGTCGGGCTCATTAAGGACATGTACAACAATGGTGTGACTAGTGTTCGAACAAGTGATGGAGACACGGATAACTTCCCGATTAGGATAGGACTACATCAAAAGTCAGCTTTGAGCCCTTATCTGTTTGCCTTAGTGATGGATGAGATCACAAGGGACATACAAGGGGACATCCTTTGGTGTATGCTTTTCGCGGACGATGTAGTGCTAGTTGATGAAAGCCGGACAGGAGTGAATCAGAAACTGGAGTTATGGCGGGAGACTTTGGAGTCCAAAAGTTTTAGACTCGGTAGAACTAAAACTGAGTATATGAGATGTGACTTCGGCACTACTACTCGGGAGGAGGAAGATATTAGTTTGGAAGGTCAAGTATTGCCTAGGAATGATACCTTTCGATATTATAGGATCAATGCTATAGAGAGGCGGGGATATTGATGAAGATGTTAGCCATAGAATCAAAGCAGGGTGGATGAAGTGGCGCCAAGCATCTAGTGTCCTATGTGACAAAAAGGTACCACAGAAGATAAAAGGCAAGTTTTTTAGAACGACGATTAGACATGCTATGTTGTATGGTGCAGAATGTTGGCCTACGAAAAGACGACATGTTCAATAGATAAGTGTCGCGGAAATGCGTATGTTGCGTTGGATTTGCGGTTATAAAAGAAGGGATCGAGTTCGGAACGATGATATACGTGATAGATTAGAGGTAGCACCAATTGAAGAAAAGCTTGTCCAACACCGGTTGAGATGGTTTGGATATGTCCAACGGAGACCTCCAGAGGCACCGGTGCGTAGTGGAATCTTAAGCCAGGATAGTAACGTGAAGAGATGCAGAGGAAGACCGAAGTTGACTTGGGTAGAGACAATAAAAAGGAGACTTGAAAGGATGGAATATACCCAAAGACTTAGCCTTAGATAGGAGTGCTTGGAAAACAGCTACTACGTGCCTGAACCTTGATTGCTTCTACTGGGTTTCAACTCTAGCCTATCCCAGCTTGTTTGGGACTTAAAGTCTTTTTGTTGTTGTTGTTGTTGTGAAAACTAAAAGGTGAAATTTTCAAGCTGAGGGTGAGATGGCCATAGAATTCAATCCAATGATACAAAATAAAGTCTGTTTACATATTAGCATGCTAGCAACTGCTACTAGAATAACCAACTCCACACATTTCATGGCACTTCTCATGCTAGTCTTTAAATTGCCAACTAGGCAATGAAATCTAGTATAGTCATACTTAACATCATAATCATCATCATCAAGTCGACGGAATTCTCATAAAGGTGAGCAAGGAAGGTGAATTGCAATACCCAACGAAGGCGCACCTTTATAAAGGAGCCAGGGGACACTGGGCGGGGAGAATCGACGCACTCCTGCTCCCGCGCCGCCACCGCCGCTAGCTGATAAGAAGTCGTCCGAGGCGGGAGAACAAAAAAACGGGAAGGAGAAGTAGCTGTTGCCGGCGATGGTGGAGCTTCTGCCTCTACGCGTGCCGCTGGCCACATGAGCCGAACAAGACGCCGCCTCCTGCCGTCGCACCCCTCAGTGCCGCGCCACACATGCATATCCGGCTCGCTGCATCTTCTCCAACGTCGCCGCCGAAACCTCCTCCTCGCCGAGCTCCGGCACCGCGCCGCAACACCATCACCAGAAAGCCGGCAGACCCTAGGCCCTCCGAAACCCTAGATCCGCGGGTCTATGCTCTGCCCGCATCCAGAACACCCGAATTCGAGTCCAATCGGCCGATTAAGACGAACCGTCTCACCGGTGGGAGCTCGAATCCGGCGGAATCGACAGGCTCCGGTCGGGCTCGATTGGGGATTTCAGGATTTCAGGTCTATGTCAGCGGAGCGGGCTGGGCGCGGTGGCTTGGACTCGATCCGAGGTGGGGCGGAGGAGGAGAGAGAATTTCAGCGATTCGGGGGAAGAGAGATCGCGTCTGGTGGAGCAGAGCAGGGCAGGGGCAGAGACGGCGAGCGAGTTCGGGTCGAGAGATGGGGAGAGACACAGAGAGAGATGATGTCTCGTCTCGTCTCGTCCTTTGCGGTGGAGAGGAGAGGACACCAGCAGTGGCAAATTCGACCATGCACAGTGATCGGAGCCCGTAATTAAAAAAACAAAAGTGATCCCAGCACGTGTTTTTTAATTAACTGTTGTGACTTCATTCCTCATGGGCTAACAAATCGTTAGTAATGATTACACAACGGCAGAGCTAGCGCCTAGACATCTGGCTCCAAGCCCGCGTATAGACGCAGCTCCGACGCCTACAACCGCGCTCCATCACATCCCACGCCAGCAAATCACGTCCGGCCGCCCGTGACCGATCCCACGCCGTTAACCGCGTCCGACCATCTACGACTCGATCCCCTTCCCACTTACGCCCCCCGCGTCAAGCCCGTTGTGCTTCTTCCCCCGCCACGCCGCGCTCTTCCCCTCGCCGTTGCGCCATGCCGCCATCCCCGCGGTGCCCCCGTCCTCCCCGCACTTTGACTCGGTTGCGCCCCTTTTCCTGTCCTAACGTCTCATCTCCTCTGCAACATCCGTCCTACCGTTGTAACATATACAGTATACTATTGAAACATACTTGTATAGTCATTACAATATCTAGATGAAACACATGAAACATGCGTCTGAAACAGCAGAACCATTTGGAACATACATTTGCAACATACGTCTAAGACAGATGAAACATGTAGAACATACACTTAAAACATACGTGTCTAGCCATTGCAACATATGCACATCAGATCCTTTTGCAACATCAAGATGAAACACATGAAACATACAGATGAAACCAATGTTTTAAATAGCCGGCTAAGGCATTTAGCTTTCTACGTCCCAAAACAGGTTATAGCCAACTATAGCGGGCTATAGCGGCAGCTAGGAGCTAACTTGTACATAAAAAAACTTAGCTAAATCTTTCTTAAAGAGCTATAGCCGGAGATAGCGGAAGCTATAGCCGGAGATTTAAAACCTTGGATGAAACACATGGAACATACAGATAAAGTACATTAAACATATGTATAAAACAACTGAAACACTTGAAACATATACTTGCAACATACGTATATAGTCATTGCAACATACATATGAAACACTTGGAAACAACTTCTGAAACACACCTGAAACAAAACATGGCGCCACCGGTGTGGCAGAACCGCCTAATCTAATGCCTCCCAAGAGTACTCGTCTTGTATTGCTATTGTTCACCGTCTCATCTCTCGTCGTGGCTCTGCATTGCTCTACATTGCAAAGCCTCCCCCATCCACCGCATCCAGACTCCCTCGGCCCGTCACCACCTACCTCGCGTCGCTTAATTAACTCCTAGCCACCATGGTGAAAGGTTCTAATGGCTAGAGGGGGATGAATAGCCTATTAAAAATTTTTACAACAACACTTAACAAACCGGTTAGACAATTATGAGGTGAAGCAAGTGTTGCGCTAGCCTACTAAAAATGCAAGTCACCTACCACAATTCTAGTTTCTACAGTTCTAACCACACAATGGCTATTTTACTACACTAAGTTAGTGTGCTCTCAAAGGCTAACTAAAGAGCCACACTAACCAAACTAACAAGCTATCACAACTAGCTACACTAAAGAGCTTGATAACTAGTTCACGGTAATGTAAAGAGAGTGAGCAAGATGGTTATACCGCCGAGTCGAGAAGTGAACCAATCAATCACAAGAATGAATACCAATGTAGACCAATCATCTCGGAATCAAATGATGACACAATGATTTTATACCGAGGTTCACTTGCTTACCGGCAAGCTAGTCCTCGTGGCGATTCACTCACTTGGAGGTTCACGCGCTAATTGGCATTACACGCCAAACCCTCAATAGGGTGCCGCACAACCAACACAAGATGAGGATCACACAAGCCACAAGCAATTCACTAGAGTACATTTTGGCTCTCTGCCGGAGAAAGGTCAAGAACCCCTCACAATCACCACGATCGGAGCCGGAGACAATCACCAACCTCCGCTCGACGATCCTTGCTGCTCCAAGCCATCTAGGTGACGGCAACCACCAAGAGTAACAAGCGAATCCCGTAGCGAAACACGAACACCAAGTGCCTCTAGATGCAAACACTCAAGCAATGCACTTGGATTCACTCCCAATCTCACAAAGATGTTGAATCAATGATGGAGATAAGTGGGAGGGTTTTGGCTAAGCTCACAAGGTTGCTATATCAATGCAAATGGCCAAGAGAGTGAGCTTGAGCTAGTCACGAGGCTTAAATAGAAGCCCCCATGAAATAGAGTCGTTGTACCCCTTCACTGGGCACAACTCGGGGTGACCAGACACTCCGGTCAGATCGACCGAACGCACCCTACCAGTGTCTGGTCAACGGATGGCTGCCATGTCATCCCTCTCTTCAAATACTGAGTGCCCGATCTCAACGATCAAGTGATGATCGGACGCAGCACAGTGCCACGATCGGACGTAGGACCCCCAGCATCCTGTCATTTCCAGTAAGCCTCCACTCGCGATCGGACGTGTCCAGTCATGTCCGACCGGACTCACCCAGCGTCCGGTCACTCTCTGTCTCCTCTGTGCACTGCCACGTCAGCAGGACCGGATGCACCCCGCCAGCGTCCGGTCACGAAGTGACCCAGCGTCCGGTCGAAGACCGATGCTTGCGTCTTCACTGCTTCTACTGACCGGATGCACCGATCCAGTTGAGGCCAACGTCCGGTCCACTTTGTGAAACACTGTCTTTTCTATACAGTTCGCCGGTGGCACCATCGGACTGTCCACACTCTACGGACGAACACTCCACGGTGAAGTTTCTAACCCTTGCTCAAATGTGCTAACCACCAAGTATATCACCTTGTGCACATGTGTTAGCATATTTTCACAAATATTTTCAAGGGTGTTAGCACTCCACTAGATCCTAAATGCATGTGCAATGAGTTAGAGCATCTAGTGGCACTTTGATAACCGCATTTCTATACGAGTTTCATCCCTCTTAATAGTACGGCTATCGATCCTAAATGTGATCACACTCACTAAGTGCCTCGATCACCAAAATAAAAAGCTCCTATCAAGTTTCACCTTTACCTTGAGCTTTTTATTTTTCTCTTTCTTCTTTTCCAAGTCCAAGCATTTGATCATCATCATGCCATCACAATCATCATGATCTTCACCATTGCTTCATCACTTGGAGTAGTGCTACCTATCTCATAACCACTTTGATAAACTAGGTTAGCACTCATGGTTTCATCAATTCACCAAAACCAAACTAGAGCTTTCAATCTCTTTCTTTTTGGTAATTGATGACAACCCTTACTCAAAGATATGAATTAAAATTTAATTGAATCCATGTTACTTGCCCAAGCATTTTTACCATGTGTAATAAGATATGGACAAGTTTCATGAACTCCAAATGGTAGCAATTGCTCCCCCTACATATGTGCTAAGAGTTTGAATTGTAGTTTGCACATATGTTTAGATAGGAAATATATGAGACAATGTCTACCAAATGATGCTAAGGTATAAAAGATGGACCTTTAAAGCGTGATACCAATCGGAGTGCACCAATATACTATCCTTAGCATCATTAGTAACTAGACATACACAAAAACTATAATACCCCGTGAGATCAACATTAGAAGTAAGGGTCTAGTTTTCATAATGTGAGCATGAGTCTAGTTACTTAAACCTATGCATACTAGTTTTTCATTTCATCATCCAAACCTACAACTAGCATTCACACAAGCATGGATATTGAAGTTTAAAACTTGTGCCATGCAAGCAAACATATGAAATGCACATTTAATATGCACCATACAAGTTCATGAGCTTGCTCCCCCTACTTGTGTGCTCAAAATTTTAATTGATCCCTTTCCTTTATCATATCTCCCCCCTATGTCAAATTCTCCCCCTATCACTTATATCTTTATTTCTCTTCCACTTTGTTGTCTTTTCACTATCTTAGTATACTAATATTTTTGTTTTTCTTCCCATAGTACTAATATCACTAATATCTTTGTTTTTCTCCCCCTTAGTCATCAATGACCACAAAGATTCAAAATGTAGATAGGTTGAGATTATCAATGTCAATCAATGGGGTAAGGATCATATTCCTAAATTTGGTCCAATCTAGAATACTTACCAAAGACATTTTACTTGGTTTGATCCAAGGACAAGCTTCTTCACACCTCCAAATAAGGGTTATCTTGTACCATGTTGAGTTAAACACTTAGAGCTCATTTTCTAGATCAAACACTAGGTTTACAAGCCCACAAACATGTCATATGCTACCACTAGATCAAGTCAAGTATAGAAGCAATAGTGGTACCATATAATCATCAAATTCATTTGATTTTCATGAATGAGTCTATTAAATGTAAAAGATGTCTAGATGCACTAAATATGTCCTTAGCAAGTATGTATGCCATGCCAATCAACTTTTACCTTGGATTGCTCGGAGGAGAGGCATGTCATATAAGTGGGGGCAGGGGGTGCATCAACACATATTTGAGAAATCCAATATATTC